CGACCCCCAAAGGGGTCGCGACCCACAGGTTGAGAATCATTGCCCTAAGGTGATGAGTCTTGTCCCCACCCATCCTATGGCCCAGCCATTGCTAAGTACTCAACCATACCAAGTCCCGAGCCAGGCCCCGACCCCCCAGGAGTTTGGTGGAATGTGGGGCTGACAGTTTTCTCCACCCCACCCCTGGGCTGGTGCTGGGTACAGGACAGAAAGAGCTGCCAAGGGGCCTGGAGTTGCACCCAGCCAGGGGTCGGGAGAGGCCCCAGAAGGACTGATTCCTGAGTCCTGAGGAGCGGGCTCAGCAGGCGGGGCAGGGAGCTGATGCTGAGATGGGGGGGGGGGCCCTAAATCGGGGCAAGGGAGGACAGAAGCGAGTCTGACCAGCTCACCAAGGGCCTTGAAGGCCACTGTAGGGGGTCTGGCGGGAGAAGCAGCCCCGAATGTTGCAGCAGGAGACACTGATGGTGAGGCTTACCTCTAGACAGACCCATGGGGTGGACTCCAGGGCAGGGTGGCCAGGGAGGAGGCTGTCGGCTCCCGTCAGGCAACAGGCGTCTGGGGTAAGGCGGGGAGATGGAGTGAAGGTCGCTATTGGAGGTGCGATTGACATCAATTCTGTGTGACGAGACGTCAGGGACGGTGCCCAGGTGGGAGGGTCATCGCCACCCAGCCTTGAGACACAGGGAAGCAAACCGCCCTGACTCAGACGACCCCACAGGGCAGGGTAGAACTGCCCCTGTGAGTTTCTGAGACTGTAACATTTTTACATTTTTTATTAAAAGGTCATTGTATTGGGGGCTCTTACAACTCTCATTACAATCCACACGTCGATTGTGTCATTGTATCACACGTGCTGGTACACATGTTGCCGTCATTCTTTTCTAGACATTGACTTTCTACAGAGCCCTTGGGATCAGCTCCTCTTTCACCACCTCCCACCCTCGTGACCCCTTGGTCGATTATAAATGATTATTCTTTGCACCTCTCACACTGACCGCTGTCTCCCTCCTCCCATGATTTCCGTGGTTCTTCCCCCTGCAGGGGGTGGTGTCTGGTGAGAGAGGTCACTCTTTATGGGAGTAGAAAGTATCTTTCTTTCAAGGAGTGGCTGGAGGTTTTGAACTTCTGACCCCGTAGTTAGCAGCCCAATGCAGAACCACCAAGTTGGTCTCCTTCCAAGTGGAGGAGTTCGGGCCCAGTGGCTGGAGGGCTGGGGCGGGGGACCTTGCCTTGCCTTTCCGTCCGCAGTGCCTGCAGAGCCCCGAGAAACATAGCCTTCTGGGATGTGTGGAGGCTGTGGCACCCCCAAAGCCGGTGGCCCGGAGCCAGAGGAAGGGTCCGGGCTGTGGAGGAGGAAGAGGGTCCCTGACTGGACCAGGGCAAAGGACACTTGGGGGACAGGTCAGGAGGAGAGGCCAAAGAAGGGGAAGTGGGTGTCACAGCTCCCAGGACAGGGAGAACTTCTGGGGTGGGGGTGGGCAAGTCAGAAAGCTCCAGAGGTCACCCAATTCCCACTCACAGCACCCTCTAGGACAGGGCAGACCTGCCCCGGTGGGTTTCCGAGGCTGTAGCTCTTCCCAGGAGCAGACAGCCTCGTCCTTCCTCCTAGGAGTGACTGGCGGTTTTGAACTGCTGGCCTGGAGGTTAGCAGCCCAACACAGAACCCGCTGAGTCACCAGGGCTCTTTCAAGGCAGAGGACTCTCCCTGGGGTTGAGCAACAGCGGGGACAGCGGTGGGCGGGTTGGCTGGGTGGCAGGAACCGCTCACGATGGGAATAGAGAAGGCCTGATTGGGAGGGCGGGGGACACAGGCCGCCCTGAGCTCCAGGGAGAGTTCTGCAAACTTCAAGGGCGCCAGCATGTCCCGGGGGGAGGATGGAGGGTGGCTGAGCTGAGC